TGAAAATTTCGACTAAATTGCGAAAAAATCGAAATTTAATCGAAATTCCAAAGCTCGGCGATTCAAACGGACCTTCGATTCGGATTCAGCGGATTGAAATACATGTCGGTAGTTTAGTCTGATTAAAAGTACACACTACCGTTTGTTTGTATGCCATGCCGGTGTATTTAACCATGACGCCAGGGCTTTGCAGTTTTCCCTATACATATGTATTTATGTATGTAAGTATTCCATATGAGTAGAATTCACTTTTTCGTAGAACTGCTATAAATCGTTAAACATACATTTTTTTTTGATTGCATAAAAATATTTGCCTTCAAATTCTTCAAACAATAAAATTATGATGCATATTTAGCTTTAACAATTTTACTAGCTACGCTTTCGTAACCGATAATCTCATCTCTTATATATATCTATACAAAAATTAGTTAACTAGTAAAATGTTTGAGTTAAATTTGCATCATAATACTATCCTTGGACGATTTCTATCAAAAAATATAAAATTTTTTTGAAATTTTGACCTTAGCAAATTTTACAACATTTTTTTTATTAACCGATTTCAAAATAAAAATATGCGGCTCTCATTATTTCTCATTTTCTGTAAATCTAGGGGTGGCATCAAGTAAATTCCAAAAGTTTATTTATTTATGTATTTTTGGACCACCTTAATGTGCATATGCACATACATAGATAACATACAGTTGAGAAGCTAACCGACTTCTGTATGTGTGTAGGCTTATACTTATAGCTATTAATACCTTTGGTTCAACGCTTATATCGAATTCCTTAATAGCGGTATTCTCCTTATAATTAGCAGCACTGCCCGGTCCCCAATACTCGGTATCGCTTAAAAATGGTGGTGGCTTTGAACTTAGCAAAACGTGAAATCTATATGCAACAGCAGCTAGGAATACCACAAACAAGAACCGTTTCAAAAATCCCATTTCGAAAACTGCACTTCAGAATAGCAAGATGGAGTAAAAACTTTCCACTTATTTATTTAAAGATACAGTAAGAGCAGTAAAAAATCCAGGCAGTAGAACCAACCGTTCGCAGCCGGCAAAGAAGAGAAACTAATCGGTGAGTGCAACAATTTCGATGTGAAACTTGGAAACATGATTGAGCGAATTCGGAAAGCTGTGCAAAAGTGGTGGTGGCATCGCTTATCACTTCTCAGTGAGTTTTAGTGAAACAGCTGTTGATCTACGACACGCTTTCAGTGGGGACGGCATGCCAGAAGGCTGAAAGTGAAAAATAATATTTACATATGTATGTATGTATGTATGTATATATGTGCCTCTAATCGCTTTCCGTAAATCAGTAAAAAATAACAAATTACCTTGCATTAGCATTTTTATTTGACATACTCGTATTACATTTGCATTTAATTTATAGCGGTGTAAATATATGGTGCACATACATATGTACATTAGGATGGTCCAAAAACAAGTTAAGTCGGATTTTTAATGCTACCACCGTCTAGGATTTTTCTATACCGGAAAAAACATTCCCTTATTTTTTATAACCAAGCACACTTGTGCACAAAGGTATTATTTACCCATCAAACTTGGTACGAGCATTGCTAGGAAGCCATTGCAAAATCATTTCGATTGATACCCATATTGTAATAATTCATTGAAATTATTGAAAATTTTGAATTTTACTTTTTAAACCGTTAATTCCTATAATTCAAGTCGAATTTAAATTTTCATACATTTGACGTCCCTGCTATACATATGTTGCTTAGAAATAAAGCTTTTTAAATACTCCTCCGATTAAAACCTAGACTATAATAACTAATTAAACTTATAATATAATTGGATTTGAATTTAGATTTAAAACAGGTGGCAATCCTCTTCAAAAACCTCAAAAAATTCTACGTGTTCAAGCTGAATATTTCTAATTTAAACTCGATTTTTAAAACAGGTGGCAACACTCTTCGAAATATTTCCTACTAAAACCCAATTAAATCTCTCTTGTCTGACGTCCATACTGTTATGCATATTTCAATTATCAAATTCCCTTAATTCAAGAAGATTTTGATTTTCCAAAGAGGTGGCAACCCTCCTCATGTTGTTCAGAACTAAAACCCTTCTCAAAAAAACTTTCGATTGAATCCCATATTGTAGTAATTCATTTAAGTTAAATGCATTTAATTTTTAAACGGGTGGCAACTCTTTTAAAGTGTTCTAAATCTTCAATCTGAAGGTTTCTTAGAAATATTTCATTTGACACCCATATATTAATTTTTTGAATAGCTTGTGAATAATTAATTTAAATTTGGTTTTTCGAACAGGTGGCACCCTTTCCAAAATACTTTCAAACTACAACTTTTTTACGCCTCTTGTCAGCCAAACTGTAATACAATTTTCAAATAAATAATTCCCTTATTTCAAGCCGAATTTGATTTTTTAAACAGGTGGCAGCCCTCCTCCCTGAGTATGGAATTTATTTCATGCACATATATGTATCTATAAGAAGTTCCTGTAATCTATCAAAAATATTTTCTGAGATATGATATGCGGTATGAAAATTCCGTTTGTGTGGGAGGTGCCATGCCCCTCGTATAATTGGAAAATAAATCTATCCTATATTTTAAGTTGGGCTAAATGGCACCAGTGTACAAAATTTAATGGTAATCGGTTGATTAGTTAAAGCGTGAAAGCGTAACAAATAAACAAACTCACTTTCGGATTTGTAATATTAGTAAGGATTTTCGGAAAATGGGCACGACACCGCCCACTTATGACTACGTAAGTCATTATTACTTTCCTTAATTTTCTTAAACAATCGCACAGTGATATTTGGTCCCCATTTTTTTTTATTCTTTTGGGTTTGCTTAAGTGATGCTTCGGCTATCAAAATATTCCCGACCATTTGCACCTGTTTGTATGATCCGTGTGAAAGT